CTGGAAACATCCCCATGGGGATGAGAGCAGGGCAGGTGGTGGCCAGAGGAGGTTCAGGAGGTTCATGATGGAGTGGTTTTAGTGGCTCCTGCCAAACAGGGCTGGTTTCGGGGCTGTCCAGCCAGGAAGGGTCTCCTGTAGGATTGAGTTTCCCCTCTTGGCAGCAGGAGCAGCACGTTGTGATCGCATCACCATGGATTGTCAGGAGAACGCAGGAAAAACAGGGAGCTTTCAGGCTGTTCTCCAGGAGAAAAGCTGAGCTCAAACTCTGGCCTTTCATCAAGATCCCCCAGACCTTCCCTGGAGAGCTGGAGAGGGACTTGAGACAAGGGATGGAGTGACAGGACATAGGGAGTGGCTTCCCACTGCCAGAGGGCAGGGATAGGTGGGATAGTGGGAAGGAATTCCGGGCTGGGAGGGTGGGGAGGCCCTGGCACAGGTTGGGCAGAGCAGCTGTGGCTGCCCCATCCCTGGAAGTGTCCAAGGCCAGGCTGGCCAGGGCTGGGCTTTGCAGTCTGTGGCTTTTTAGAGGGAGAGAAACCCGAAGGCAAAGCCTGCAATCCCTCCCCTGTTATTGTTTTGCTCACTGGAACCAGTGGTTTTAAGTCTTCTGAAAGGTCACAGGCGAGTGGGTGGGGGCCAGAATTCCTGGCTGCCGGAACAGGAGAGGCTTTTTTTTTATGGGAAGTGCAGCGAGGCTGAAACCGCTCTCCTAAAATTTTATGGGCTTTGCAACAAGCCCGGGGCCCTTTCCCAGGTGGCCGGATCGAGTGTCACAGCTTTGCTCCATCACAACCCTTTCCTCCCCGGGGCAGAGGGGGCTGAGCCCCCACCCCAGGCCGTGAAGGTTGAACTCAGGGGTTACTCTTATTTACCAGGGAGAAATCGGAATTTAAGAGGCACCTGATTATCATGGAAGAATGTGGAATGGTTTGGGTTGGAAAGGACCTTGAACATCATCCAGTCCCACCCCCTTCCACCAGCCCAGGTTGCTCCAACCTGGCTTTGGACACTTCCAGGGATGGGGCAGCCACAGCTTCTCTGGGCAACCTGTGCCCACCCTCACAAGGAGGAATTCCTGCCCACTATCCCATCCAACCCTGCCCTTTGCCAGTTGGAAGCCATTTCCCCCTTGTCCCATCACCATCCCCACTATGTCCTATCACGATGAAGAACGCAGATAGGAACGCATCCAACGTGCTCCATCATCTTCCCTCATCTTCCATCATCCTCCAACACCCTCCATCGCTCTCCTTCCAGATGGAGAGCCCAGCTCTTCCTTGGCTCCCCAGGATGGGAAAAAACCAGCAGCAGACAGGGCTGGCACCATCCCCCCTCTGGTGTTCCCAGTGCTCCCAGCAGGCTCTCCCAGCTCCCATCCCACTCCGGTGCTCATCACCGCCGTGTCCCGGCCAGCGCTGCCTCTCCGGACCCACCGGGATCCCATCCCCTTCCCTCCTTATATGGCCAAACTATTCTTTTTCCTATCTTGGCATTGTTTATAGCCCAGCTGAAAATATTTAGACTCTGGCTGGATTCTCCAATTGCCCCGTAACCTACAGGGTATCTTATTCCTGGTGGTTCATGTGGAATTATCTGCATCCCGTAAAATCGAGGGACGTGGCCGTCAGGGGGTGTTTGTTTCCTGCAACGAAAGTAGAAGCAAACATGTCAAATCCCAAACTAAAATAAACATTTTCTCCCCCATACCCCCCCCCCCAGTGAATTATATTTGGCCAGTATTGTGAAACTGGGATTGCTGGGGGGGGAGTTGTCCCTTTTTTTTTT